GGAGAGAAGAGAGTCGAAAAATCGCGCAAAGCTTGCCAAGAGACGACTCTACCTATACCTCCGCTGCAGATGTCTTGTGTCATCTGTATTTTTATTGTTGTTGACGCGGCAACTATTTCAATGCGCCCTAAGTTTACTTCGAGTTGGGAGCAAAAGCAGGTCTCAATCCTTTTGGGAGGAGACTTGCCAAGGCTGGAGCGATAATGATTGGGTAGAGAACTTCAGAACTTCTGTAGGCGCCTATCAGAGTGTGAATTCGTGTCTCGCAGCTGCCGTCGTCTCTGTCTTCATAGCCTGCAGCTTGAAGATATGCCGAAATTTCTAGCCATATAGGTTTTTTTCTTGTGCATGATTTTAGCTGGAGCTGGATATTCTCGTTTCCCCACTTTTTAAGTAACAGGAGGGTTTCTTTGTGCTCCCGAACTCCTCCGCGCGTTTTGGTTTCTGCCGCCATTTTGAATGTGTTTTATTAAACACGATTGTTAAACTACCTCGTGAGGTAGTTTTGTTAAACACGGTTTTAGACGCGTTTTGTTAAACGCACCCGCAGTGTGAACGGCCAGTATTATTAAATCTGTTTATCAAAACAAATTTTAAACATGTTTAAGCTTTGATGTGAACGAGGTATAAGATAAGTTGTTAAAGGATCTCCTCACATTTACATCTGCAAATGAATTGAAGAAGTTGTATGGTTGATAATGTTTTAAGTTATCTTTTTAAGTTGCCGTAACGATTCAAGTTTGCACAAGGTCAAGGAAGATCGAAAAAAATTATCCATCGGTGAGTTAACTTGCTGTTGTACAGATGAACGGAAAATTAATTCACATCTGTAATTTTTTTATATCTTTGGTCGTGATGAAAGTAAACGTTCATTGATTTGCTGTACAGTGTTCCTCGATTTATTGGCGTTTAAAAATGTATTAAAAGATTTGTGCCGACAAGGAGAAGTTGTTGCCTTTCATTTCCCTTACTCTCATCACGTTAATGTTTGCCGGTTCATTACTGTTATTATTATCATTATCACTATCATCGTCATCATTATTATTATTATCAGTACCATCGTCATCATTATTATAATCATTATTGTTGTTATTGATACTATTTTACATTTTCTCCTATATCATTTTGGCGTAGTTACCTTCAGCTTTGGATTTGCTATTTTACGGGAGAAAAAGTGCAACAACCTTTACAAAAACGATCAAATGAAATGGGGGTCGGCACTTTTGGAATAATTTATTCGTACTTGAAAATATCTTGCCCTACATGGATCGTAGACCTCTGGTATAATAATATTACCACCAGAAATCAAACATTCTGCCCCACTCCTCACGGTGTCATTTTAACCACTGATTGTGAGGCACGCGGATAGCTCGAATTGAATTGCAAATGTTTTGCGAATATTAAGTATTCATCGCACCTGGGTCAGGACCTTACATGTGGAAGTCAGAATTACGCTTTCCTGTCTGGTTTAAAGCCATAAATTGCAGCTTTTGGATAGAAAACTCTCGTCTTACATGTCCTAGACAGTAATGACATCTGACGGTAGAAGTTAAAACTTTTGGTATCTTGTATGTCGATCTTTGGTGTGCAGCGGTCTTCGCACACAGGTTGAGCCAGCGATGACAACTTACCAGATTTATATTTGTATAAGCTTAGCCTTCTTTGAACTCACGTGAATGATGTAGCCTCTTTCTTTTGCTGTTCATAATATATAATTTACTTACAAAATTGCGTGCTTTAACTGGCTTCAGTTATTCTCTCCATCTGTTACAAACAATATCGAAATAGCGACACTTAGTGACTGCAGAGGTTTCATAATTGAATTACTTGTATGCATCATCGTAATTCTGGGAAAACATATTTTTATAATTAGTGTAGTGCTATTGCTTAAAGATTATTTGAGTAGACCTCGGAAATTCTTTGATATTAGTAAACAAATGAACGGAGACAGGAACGAACAAATATGATCATGATATGGGGATCGGGCTTTTTCCATCGCTGCACCGAGCCTTCCAGCATTTGTTAGGAACGCACCTCCAGTACCTACGTCACATTTTATGGCATATAGGGCTGGTTATTTAAACAAAGTTTAGCCGTTGTTTAACAAAACCGCCATCTTTAATTTGGCCGAACCTTTTATCTGAATAGTTATATGTGTGATCAATGTCAGGCGGGCCGGAATATAATTGTGGAACGACATCAATCCTCCTATAGAGCATTCCTGAGGCCCACTCCCTGCGTAAAACCGCGGTTTGCGTTAGAGCTCGTGTAAATGATCGGCCCACAAAGTTTTATATTGATTAATTTCAACTAGTACACCAGCGACTTGCTTTCATAATTGATCAATTGTAATTAAGTATTCTTGGGGAGTGGGGTGGGGGGGGACATTTTAATTTTCACAGATAACATTTTATTCGACAGGAATTTTTAACTCTTTTTAAATATGTTTTCAATTTTGAAATTTTTGAACGCATTGGGACTTGTGAGGAAAAGTGGGAAATATTTTTGGGGAGTGCTTCTAAATACTTTTGAGTTTAAGTATCGTCTCAAAAACTACGGGGTAAAAAGTTAAAAGGTAACCCAAAATTCCCAGTACTGTGGCTATCCTAATATAACTCTAATGTGTCTTTAAAGAAAAACAAAAAGATACAAGGAATGACTGTTGTTTTGAGAACTTAATTTGAATCGTGCTACCCTCCCCTCCCCCCGGAAAAAATCTCAAAAATTCCCGATTCTTTTCCTCTAGAGCCAGCCCGCTACCGCTGTAAATTTTACTGCTGTGTGGTGAAACATTAAACCGACTCTGTACTGATTTTTGCTAGTTTTACATCGTCATTGAAATTTTTTATATATCACATCTAAGGTAATCATGAAAACAAGAAGGATGGCGATGGATCAGAAACAATTCGAAGTGCATGAAAACAGATACAGTCAGTACAGGTCAGTTTATCATTTATTTCCTGGTCCAGGTTTTATAGAGACGGTTAAAACTTATCTTTCTTAATCTTTGTCACACTGTGGTGTTTTCCTCTCAATTTCAAAAGAATTATTTCCAGATCCGAAGATTGAACAGAGGAAAGGAAAAACAAAAGAAGAATAAAATTTACTGAACAAGAATTCGTGAGGAAGTTTAGGTCTGAATTGAAAAAAACACATTAATTAAGGATTGCTTCTTTTCAATAAATTATAATTGGATTGCTTTTAAAATATATAAAATTGTTTTTTCAAAGTTGTTCTTTCTCGACAAATCCCCATTCCTTTTTCAATCCGACAAAGAAAACCTCATTAAACCTTTTATTTTACTCCGATAACTAAGATGTTTTACCCAGGAGAGCAGAAAACACAATTGGCCGTCATTCATGAGTCCAGAGAACTAACGTTTAGATCCTTTTAAGCTTGTTTGTTTCTTGTTTGTTTCCTGTTTGTTTCTTGTTGGTTCGTAGACCACCATGGCAACTTCAAAAAGGAAGTAACGTTATGCAATCACACTCTCCCCACCATTTGTCTTGACTGTCTCCACTGTGAAGCGAAAGGAAGGCTGTGTGTGGTTCAGATGCTGCAGGAAGGTATCGAAGTTCTCGCGGTCGAAGATGGTGAAGGTGTCATTTACGTAGTGTTTCCGATCCCAAAGCTGGGATGTAAAAGTGTAAAGGATGATAAAGTGATTACCTGCTCTTCGAATTCAAAACTATCCATGTAGAGGTTAGCAATAACAGCTTATAAAATGGCCTTATTATGATACAAACTATTTTACTTCCTATATAAGTGTAACTTGGAGTTATTAGCTGGTAATTGTGATATTGTCTTCTGTTCTGATTAGCTGCTCACGCTCGTTTTGGTTTAAAGGTGCAATCTACTTACGACAATGGATCGAAAAGCTGGGCGATTTAGATTAAACGTAGCAAGTTTGAAAAGAAAAGGAAAAATTAATTTCATATATGAGTCAAGGATCAAAATATTTTTTTTAATTTAAAGATGATAGTTGTGTATTTTTACCGTTTGCCGCAGGGAATTTTTTTTTTCGTCAATATCTTATTTGCCTGCGCTCGGTTGTTAAAAACACAATTTAACGTAACCCAGGGTTAGTGCAAATTTTAAATTGAGTTTGATGGCTTTGCAAAAGAATTTTTCTTTTTATTTTCTTTCGTTTTGGTTTCAAGTCATATTGAAATAAAACCCCACAAAACCTTAGATCTTAAACACGCTTATCTACAAGACAAAGTAAAGCCAAGGTTAACTTTAATCTAAGATTAACTTTAGACCCCTTTCGAACATCCCGGCCCTGGCTTTTAGATAGCTACACGTGTCATTATTTATCTAAGGAATTGTAGAAAAGATTTTTCTGACCGAGCTGTCACACTGATCTCAGCGGAATTTGAAATTTGTTAATTTCCTTCTTTTTCATTGTTGTTACAACAAGAAAATTGGTGTCAGGCGGCCTGAAGTCATTAATTACTGTACCATCCTTCTTGGGCCAGTTTTAAAACAAGAAATTCGTAGATGATTTTGACCTTTACTGAACTGCGTAGATGTCTTGACAGTTTTTGTTTCAGTTAATGGGAATTATATTTGGCTAGTTTTTCACTAATACTTATTGCTTTTAGTACATCTACTAAAAACAAAATGACTCTTATAAGTGGTACCTCATAGAAGATTAAAATTTCAAGTGGACTAGCTTATTTTTTGTTCCGTACTCAGTCCATGGTTTTGATTTGGTCTTGGAATTTAGTTTGGTTGAAACTTTCAAACAAATATCTATTTTTTTACTAGAAATTACCAAGCTTCTTGTTTTTTGCGAACACCTGTCTCACAGTTCCAATCCGTCGGCAACGAGGAACACACATGTTCATCGACAGGAAATGTTACGATATTTTTTTAATTTCGTACTTAAATAGAACGTCGTTTAAATGCGATCTTGGGAAGTAAATAGTACAGAAAGCAAGAGGTAATAGACCGATGCCACGAGAAGAGAGAAGATGGTTCACGGCCCAAAAGCTATCATGAACGAATCTATTTGTGAGTGGTTGGAGCATCACCCATCCATCTTGGACATGAATGATTTACGATCGACGTACATCGCCAATTGTATTTTCAACAATTTATCAACCCATACCGCCATCATGTTGAACATTTTGACAATGTACGCGGTGCGAAAAACGTTGTCGCTACCCAAGACGTTGAGAACATTGCTGCTGAGTCTTGCTGTTTCCGACATTGGTGTCGGTTTCATTGTTCAACCATTTTACACGTCATTCTTTGTCAAGTGGTTACAACTGAACGAACCAAAATGCAGCACACACAAAGCTTTAGTGGCAATTACTCTTTTATTTTCTCAAGCTTCTTTCCTAAGTGTTGTCGCTGTGAGTGTAGACAGGTTCTTAGCTGTTCATCTGCATCTCAGATACCAGGAACTTGTGACTCATAAACGTGTTGTTGTTGTGGTGATCGCAACATGGGTGTTAAGTGCATCTAATTCTTTATTTACCTTTCTGAACCTGCAAGAAGTTTACCATTTAATCTTTTCGATTATGGTGGTTACAGGCCTTATTGTTACAACTATTGTTTACACCAGGATTTATTTCATTGCACGGCGGCACAAGAATCAGATTCAGTCCTTACAAATACAACAAGGGGAACAAACTTCTGAAATGGCTCGTTTTGCAAAACTAGTTCATTCAGCTGTCAGTGTTTTCTACGTATACGTCTTGTTACTAGCTTGTTATTCGCCCCTCTTAATCTGCATAAGGATTGAAAGTTCAAGTGTCACCACAAAGAGATTTTGGGTAGTATCGTCGACGTTACTGCTTCTTAACTCATCTCTGAACCCTTTAATTTACTGCTGGAGGATGAGAAACATGAGGCACTCAGTCATAAATGTACTGCGGAACATGACTCGGAACCGAAATCGAATTTCACAGTCATAATTGATGTGACTTAGCTTTGTCAAGAATCCTTACATCCCATGTCACCGATTTTAATAATTGCTCACTTTTACTCCTCGAGTAAAAGAAACCTACGAGTTGCCATGAGTTGACGCTACTAAGACATCCCTTACTTAGAGGATGACCTTTGTACGTGAAAGTGATAGAGGCTCATAAATAGTCTACATCTATGTCGTTTTTTGGCCAAACTGTGATTGCCCCAACTGAGAGGTAGGGTGGTCACACAGTCAGGTGCGAACAACGTTTCAGACATCGAAGACACAAATAAATGAGCTGAATGCATATATTTGAGTAATACAATGAAAAATAAGACTGAGGCAACTCTTCTCAATTACTGAGCACGTTACGACATTTTCAGCGCGAGTAGGTAGAAGACGCAATAATGTATGCTATGTTATTTATTTTTTCAAAGGAGGGGTAATATTTGATTGCTTCACCATTGTACTTTGCTCCACTCTGTGTTTGGTCTGTCACCCGCTATACCCTTTTGCAATCGGATACAAAACTTAATCAATCGCGACTTGGTCACTCTTGCCGCGCAGGCAGTTTGGTTTTACTTACAGTTCTTTTGGGCTCGTTATGATATTTCCTTTCGGTATGGTTGGCCATTGTGATGTCTTGCATTTACGACACTTCATTGGTCACTCTTGCCGCGCAGGCAGTTTGGTTTTACTTACAGTTCTTTTGGGTTCGTTAGGATATTTTCTTTCGTTATGGTTGGCCATTGTGATGTCTTGCATTTACAACACTTCATTAAGCACTCTAAATAAAACATAGCTCTTTTGAAATTGTGGGGAAAAAAGAGCGCAAGTAAACACCATAGTCAAGGATTAAAAGGTTTTAGTTTGTATGAATTGACATACAAGCCATTAATCTTAATCTCCTGGTCTGTTTTACGCAGAAGTTGTACAAAGGGCTATTTTTAGCGGTCCTGTTTCCGAAGATTTTAGATTGTTTGTAAATACAATGTAAACAGACTAAAGGAAGAATTAGTATCCTTTCAAAGAGCAGTAAAGAAGCAAGCTAATTAAGGTTTATTTGTCAATATGGTTACACCTATGGGTAATTGGTATCAGCTCTTAAAGAGCTTATAATTTGTCGCTCGTTGTAGTTAAATTTATGATCTTTGTAATGGGAATTCCCTTTCTCCCCCCCCCCCCCTTCCTCTCGCGAAAAAGCAGGCATCTCAGAGTTTCTTAGTAAGCTTTTAGAGACCGGTGAAAATTTACAGCTTAACCAGTGAGGCTAATTATTATCACTGGTAGAGTAATTTGACTTGCGTTTTGATTGAGTGATAAGGATCCAACGGAAAGTTAACGAATAAGCGAGTTGCCTTCAAGTGGGAGGTTTTTTTGTTTAGTTAAATTTTTTTTGTAAATGGACCCCGTTTCAGAAAACTGAGCTTGTTGTTCCAGTTTATGTGTAAAGAGCTTTACTAGTGCTTAAATAAATTTCCTCGTCATATCAAGCTCATTAAGGTGTAGCAGATGTGGGGCAGGCAAGTTTCTCCAAGGACTTAATTTAGGAGATCAAAGAAACCAGAAGTTGGTTTTCGTTTGCAACAATTAACCGAGATACATCATTAGGAAAGGAGTGCGACTTTATTTAAACTTAGAGAAAACAAAATAACTAACATCAGAATTAATGGCATACAATGACGTTATTGCTGATAATAAAAGCGTATTTGTTTACCTAAGTTGACAGGAATGGATTTTCAGTGAAGTATCGTCAAACTTCTTAAGAGGCTTTCTTTCTATAAATTATGATTGTATTGCTTTAAAAAAAATGTAAAACCGTTTTTTTCAAAGTTGTTTTTCTAGACAAATCCCCATTCCCTTTTCTATCCGAAAAATAAAACATCATTAAACCTTTTATTACTGAGATGTTTACCCAGGAGAGCAGAAAACATAATTGGTCTGCATCCTGAACTGCACATAAAAGGAGAAAAAATTCATTTACGAGTCCAGCGAAGTAACGTCAAGATCTTTTTAAGCTAGTTTGTTTCTTGTTAGTTCGTAGACCACCATGGCAACTTAAACAAGGAACGAACGTCATGCGATGACGCTCTTCTCTTCCCCTTGTCTTGGTCTCTGTCTCCACGGTGAAGCGAAGGGAAGGCTACGTGTGATTCAGATACTGCAGGAAGCTATCGAAGTTCTCGCGATCGAAGATGGTGAAGGTGTCGTTCGGGGCGTAGTGTTTCCGATTCCAAGGCTTGTTAGGAACGATAAAGTAATTACCTCCTCTTCGTATTCAAAACACTCCATATAGAGGTTAGCATTAACAGTTTATAAAATGACTAATTTTTTTTAAAGGGCACGGTAACGAATCTTGCAATCTGATTGGTTCCTTACCCGGTCAGTATTTTCCTATCTCTGCCCACGGGCCACGGTAACGCTTTCGTGAGTCGCCGAGTACATCCCAACTTTCGTTGCCATTTTTCATAAAATATCTCGTTTTTCCGGCTGGGCAGTATTTTCAAGCAAATACGTCGGTCACTACCTCAAGCCGATAAATAACTTATGAATCCTCTGTTTTCTCTCTCTCAAATCACTTTGGTTGATAGAAAAAATATTGGTTTCAAAATGAATTTGTATTAGGAATAGTGTAATTACGTTGGTTGACAAGCGGCCTAAAAACCGTCTGCAATTAATTTTAATCGTTCACAAAAGGTACATAGAAGGTTAAAACGTGAAGTATTTGGTTACAGTTAAACTGAACGATGTAACTTTCATTCATTTAATATCTGAATTTTCTCAAACAATTTGCTCGTAGTGAAAGAGCGAGCGAAGTTTTAATTTAAGTTCTACAACAAATATACGCTCTCGGTGAGTCTTTCCAAGTCCATTCAATTTGGACATTTGTACCGTAAATTGCACAACAGAAACTGAAGGAATTTAATGAGAAAAGGCCGCATTAAATCCCCATGTGTTTCGTTGGAGTGTTCCATTCGAATTAAATTTTTGTGGAGGAGAGACCAGATTAACACACGCCATTGCAGCAAACAAACGAACAAACTCTCACAACTTTAAAATAAAAAATTTGAATTTACTCACAGTTACTTTCCTGATGAGAGTGAATAATACTTTCCGTTAGATCATTGACTGTTTTTGAAGAAAACATTGTCGTGACAGTCCTTGCCAAACTAGTTCCGTTGTTTTTCAAATGTTCTTGCGCTTTTTTTTTCTTACGCGCTCCCTAATTGATAACTGTGTTTCGAAGTTTGTTTGGAAGCCTTTTAAATCATCTTTATCGTTACGGTAATGAAAATGTTTCGGTGAGGCATCTCTCTTTAATTTGCATCACCTTTATTTTAACTACCATTTATTTTAGCTCAGCTCTAAATCATTCGGGTTCTTTCGGAAAGAATTTCGTCAAGTTTTAAAAAAATAAATATTATTATTTATAGTGTCGGTCCGTATGGTGAAAAACTGTGACCTCGGTCTTGAAATGTATTTTCAAGACCTCGGTCACAGTTTTTCACCATACGGACCTCCCAGCCGGCAAATATAATATGTATATCGTGAGAAAATCTATTTTACTTCCTATATAATAAAAGTGTAATTTGGAGTTACTAGCGGTTTATTTTGATATTTCCTTCTTTCCTGGTTGGCTGCTCACGCTTGGTTTGGTTTGAAGTTACAATGTATTTTCGACACCAAATCGAAAAGAGCTGGGCGCTTTAAATTAAACTTAGCAAGTTTGAAAAAAAAGGGAAAACTTAACCACACATATGAGTCATGGATTTAAATATTTTCTTTAATTTTAGATGATAGTTGTTGATTTTCCTGTTTGCTTCAGGGAAACTTTTTTTCGTCGACATCTTATTTAACTGGCTTTTAGAAAGCTACACTTGTCATTATTTATCTAAGGAATTGTAGCAAAGTTATTTCTGACCGAACTGTTTGACGGATTTCAGCCACATTTAAATTTGTCAAATTCCTTCTTTTTCATTTTTGTTACACCTCGGCGTGTAAAACACAAAATTCGCAGATGATACCGCCCTTTACTAAACCGTTTAAAATGTCTTGAGAGTTTTTGTTTCAGATAATGGAAATAATATTTGGCTAGTTTTTCATTAGTAGTTATTGCTGTTAATGCATGTACTTAAAACAAAATGACCCTTAAAAATGGTCCCTGGATTAAAGTTTCAAGTGGATCAGCTTAGTTTTTGTTCCGTATTTGGTCCATGGTTTTGATTTGGTCTTAGAATTTAGTTTGGTTGAAACTCTCAAACAAATATCTATTTTTACCAGAAATTACCAGGCTTCATGTTCTTTGCGAACACCTGTCTCACAGTTCCAATCCGTCGACAACGAGGAAAATACATGTTCATCGACAGTAAATGTCACGATGTTTCTTAATTTCTTGCTGAAATAGAACGTTGTTTAAATGCGATTTTGAGAAGTAGCGCGCTAAATAGTACAGAAAGCAAGAGGTGATAGACAGATGTAACGAGAAGAACATGGTTTACGGCCCAAAAACCATCATGAATGAATCTATTTGTAAGGGGTTTAGGTTGTTGATTTTCCCTTTGGTTCCGGGAATCTTTTTTTTCGTCAACATCTTATTTGCCGGGCTTTTAGAAAGCTACACTTGTCATCATTTATGTTAGGAATTGTAGAAAAAGTTATTTCTGACCGAACTGTTCAACGGATTTCAGCCACATTTAAGTATGTCCAACTCCTTCTTTTTCATTGTTGTTACAACTAGGCGGGCAAACCACAAAATTCGCAGATGCTACCGACCTTTACTAAACCGTTTCAAATGTCTTGAGAGTTTTTGTTTCAGATAATGCAAATAATGTTTGGCTAGTTTTTCATTAGTAGTTATTGCTGTTAATGCATGTACTTAAAACAAAATGACCCTTAAAAATGGTCCCTGGATTAAAGTTTCAAGTGGATCAGCTTAGTTTTTGTTCCGTATTTGGTTCATGGTTTTGATTTGGTCTTAGAATTTAGTTTGGTTGAAACTTCCAAATAAATATCTATTTTTACCAGAAATTACCAGGCTTCATGTTCTTTGCGAACACCTGTCTCACAGTTCCAATCCGTCGGCAACGAGGAAAATACATGTTCATCGACAGTAAATGTCACGATAGTTTCTTAATTTCTTGCTTAAATTAAATAGAACGTTGTTTAAATGTGATTTTGAGAAGTACCGCGCAGACAGAAAGCAAGAGGTGATAGATGTAACAAGAAGAACATGGTTTACGGCCCAAAAACCATCATGAACGAAACTATTTGTGAGGGGTTTAGGTATAGCCTCTCCATCTTAGACATGAATGATTTACGATCGACGTTCATCGCCAATTGTATATTCAACAATTTCTTAACCTACAGCGCCATCATGTTGAACATTTTGACAATCTACGCGGTGCGAAAAACGTCCTCGCTACCCAGAACATTGAGAACATTGCTGCTGAGTCTTGCTGTTTCTGACATTGGTGTTGGTTTCATTGTTCAACCATTTTACACGTCATTCCTTGTCAAGTGGTTACAACTGAACGATCCAAAATGCAGCACATACAAGGCCTTCCTGGTAATTGGTCTCACATTTTCTCAAGCTTCGTTCCTGAGTGTTGTCGCTGTGAGTGTAGACAGGTTCTTAGCTGTTCATCTGCATCTCAGATACCAGGAACTTGTAACTCATAAGCGTGTTGTTGTTGTGGTGATCGCAACATGGATGTTAAGTGCATCCAATTCTTTATTAACCTTTTTGAATCTGCAAGACGTTTGCCTGTTAACCTTTTTGATTATGGGGTGTGCAGGGGTTATTCTTACAACTATTGTTTACACCAGGATTTACTTAATTGTCAAACGGCACAGGTATCAGATTCAGTCCTTACAAATTAATCAAGTGGAACAAACTTCTGAAATGGCTCGTTTTACAAAACTAGTTCATTCAGCTGTCAGTTTCTTCTACGTATATATCTTGTTACTAGCTTGTTATTTGCCCATCTTAATCTGCATGAGGATTAAAACTCCAAGTGTCGCCAGAAAGAGATTTTTGGTAGTATCGGTGACGTTTCTGTTTCTCAACTCGTCCCTGAACCCTATAATTTACTGCTGGAGGATGAGAAACATGAGGCACTCAATCATAAACTTACTAAGAAACATGTCTCGGAATCGAAATCGCATTTTACATTCATCATTGGTGTGACTTTGCTTTGTCAAAAATCCTTACATCTCATGTTATCGATGTTGACAATTGCTAACTTTCATTCCTCGATTAAAAAAAACCTACGAGTTGTCATGAGTTGACGCTACAAGGACATTCCTTACCTAGAAGATGAACTTGTGCGCGATAGTGACAAAGGCTTATAAATAGTCTACATCTATGTCGTTCTTTGGTCAAACTGTGATTCCCCCAACTGAGAGGTAGGGTGGTCACAGTCAGATGCGAACAACGTTTTCAGACATCGAAGACGCTACACAAATAAAGATAAAGTTCAACGCATATATTTGAGTCAGAAAATGAAAAATGAGACTGAAGCAACTCTTCGCAAAACAATTCGTTCAAGATGATCAACTAGAAGCTTGGAACAAAAACAACGATTCACGATTATAATTCAGGCCATCTTCTGATCTCTTGAAGTAATTACTCTGTTGTCTCTGTAAGGTAACGGAAGATTTCCAGTGAACGAGATCAGTGAACTGTTCGCTGGGCAATATCTCGCTCCTTTTTGGGTTTTGTGTTTAGTTTCAGAATTACGACCTCCTAGAAAAGCGCTTTGAACAACGCAAAGGTTGTAGTTAAGATAAGTTGTTTGGTTTTGGGATGAAACTTGGCGATTCTTTCGGAAGTTAGTTGTTTCAACGGTTGTTCTCAATTACTTAACAACTTACGACATTTTCAGTGCGGGTAGGTATGCGATAGACTGCAATAGCGTTAATTATTTTTTCAAAGAAGGGGTGATCAGTGATTACTTCACCATTGTGCTTTACTTCGCCCTTTGATTTGTCTGTCACCCGCGCACCATTCCCTTTAGCAGTCGAATGCAAAACTTTATCAATCGCGCCTTGTTCACTCTTGCTGCGCAGGCAGTTTGGTTTTACTTTACTCTTTTTGGCTCGTTAGGATATTTCCTTTCGTCCTGGTTGGCAATTGTGATGTCTCTAGTTTTATATTTGCGATGCTTCAATAAGCGCTCAAATTATATCACTGCTCTTTTGAAATGTTGGGGAAATAAGAGCGCAAGTAAACACCATAGTCAAGGATTAAAAGGTTTTAGTTTGTATGAATTGACATACACCCTATTAATCTTAATTGCCTAGACCCAGTTGTTCGAGGACCGAGTAGCGCTAACCTGGTTAGATTAAAATTTAACCCTGGGCCAGGGTTAAATTTTAATCTAGGTTTCTATATCTCTCTGTTCAAAAGCCGTTTAGGATAACTTTCTCCTTATGTTTTTAGAGCATTCAATCATCAAATTGAAGACAAAAAGAGTTACGCTGAATTTTCTTTTCAAGCCTTCAGATTTTTAAATCAAATTTCTCATTAACCCTGGGTTATCACAACCCAGCTTTGAACAACCCGGCCCTGATCTGTTCTACGCAGAAATTGTTCAAAAGGGCTATTTATTTTAAGTGGTCCTGTTTCCACAGATTTTAGCTTGTTTGTAAATACAATGTAAACAGACTTCAGGGAAAATTGGTGCTTTTTCAAGGACCAGTGGAGAAGCAAAGTTTATTTGTCAATATGGTTACACCTCTGGGAAATTGGTGTCAGCTTTTAAAGAGATTATAATTTGTCACTCGCCATAGTTAACTTTATGATCTTTCTCAACGGAATTCCCTTCCCCGACTCCTCTCGCGAAAAAGCAGGCATCGCAGAGTTTTCTGATTAAACTTTTATAGACCGGTTAAAAATTTACAGCTTAATCAGTAGGGCTTATTGTTATCACTGCTAGAGTAATTTAACTTGCATCTCTATTGAGTGGTGAGGATCCAACGGACTCTTTATGAATAAGCGAGTTACCTTCGAGCGGGAGGTCTTTTTATTAAGTTAAATTTTTTTGTAAATGAACACCCGTTTCAGAAAACTGAGCTTGTTGTTTCAGTTTATGTGGAAAGAGCTTTACTAGTGCTTAAATAAATTTCCTCTTCATATGTAGCTCATTGAGGTGTAGCAGATATGGGGCAGAGCTAGAAGGCAAGTTTCTCCAGCGACTTAATTTAGGAGAACAAAGAAACCAGAGGTTGGTTTTCGTTTGCAACAGTTAACCGAGATACTTCATTAGGAAAGGAGTGCAACTTTATTTAAACTTAGAGAAGACGAAATAACTAACATCCGAGTTAATGGCCTAAAATGACGTTATTGCTGATAATAAAAGCGTATTTGTTCACCTAAGTTCAGTATCGGAATGGATAGTCAGTGAAGTATCATTAAACTGCTTAAGAGGCTTCATTTCTATAACTTTTAGTTGGATTGTTTTTAAAATATGTAAAGACCGCTTTCCTCAAAGTTGTCCTTTCTCGACAAATCCCCATTCCTTTTTCAATCCGAAAAATAAAACCTCATTAAACCTTTTATTTTACTCCAAAACTATGATGTTTACCCAGGAGAACATAAAACATAATTGACTGTCATCCTGAATTGCACATAAAAGGGAAAAAAATTCATTCTTGAGTCCAGCGAACTAACGTTTAGATCATTTTAAGCTTGTTTGTTTCTTGTTTGTTCGTAGACCACCATGGCAACTTCTAAAAGGAACTAACGTTGTGCGATGACGCTCTCCCCACCCCCCTTGTCCTGGTCTCTGTCTGCACGGTGAAGCGAAGGGAAGGCTGTGTGTGATTCAGATGCTGTAGGAAGCTGTCGAAGTTTTCCCGTTCGAAGATGGTGAAGGCGTCGTTTACGTAGTGTTTCCGATCCAAAGGCTTGTTAGGGATGATGGAGTGATTGCCTGACCTTTAAATTCAAAACGCTCCATGTAGGGGTTAGCAATAACAGGTTTTAAAATGACTATACCGTGAGACAAAAATATTTCCTTCTGTTCTGATTGGTTGCTCACGACATTTCCTTCTGTTCTGATTGGTTGCTCACGCTTAGCTTGGTTTAAAGTTACCATAAACTTTCGACAATGGATTGAAAGGCTGGGTGCTTTAGATTAAACGTAGCAAGTTTGAAAAGAAAAGGAAAAGCTAACTTCACATATGAGTTATGGATTAAAATATTTCTTTAATTTAGGATGATAGTTGTGGATTTTCCCGATTGCCTCAGGCAATCTGTTTTTTTTCGTCAACATCTTATTTGCATGGCTTTTAGAAAGCAACACTTGTTATTATTTATCTAAGGAGTTAAAGAAAAAGCTATCTCTGACCGAGCTGTTCGACTGATTTCAGCCACATTTATATATGTCAAATTCCTTCTTTTCCATTGTTGTTTAAACCAGAAAATCCGCAGATGATACTGACCTTTACTGAACTGCGTATATGTCTTGAGAGTTTTTGCTTCAGTTGATGGAAATTATATTCGGCTAGTTTTTCATTAGTACTTATTGCTGTTAATGCATGTATTAAGAACAAAATGACCCTTAAAAAGGGTAACTCACAGTGGATTAAAATTTCAAGTGGATTAGCTTATTTTTTGTTCCGTATTCGGTCCATGGTTTTGAGTTTGGCCTTAAAATTTAGTTTATTGAAGCTTTCAAATAAATATCAATTTTTTTTGCTAGAAATTAGCAAGCTTCGTGTTTTTTGCGAACACCTGTCTCACAGTTCCAATCCGTAGGCAACGGGGAACACACATGTTCAACGACAGGAAATGTCAGGATAGATTTTAATTTCTTACTTAAATAGAACGTCGTTTAAATGCGGTCTTGGGAGGTAAATAGTACAGAAAGTAAGAGGTAATAGATGTCATGAGAAGAAAGAACATGGTTTACGGCCCAAAAACCACCATGAACGAATCTATTTGTAAGGAGTTTAGGTATAGCCTATCCATCTTGGACATGAAAGATTTACGATCGACGTACATCGCCAATTGTATTTTCAACAATTTATCTACCTATTCCGCCATCATGTTGAACATTTTGACAATCTACGCGGTGCGAAAAACGACGTCGCTACCCAAGACGTTGAGAACATTGCTGCTGAGTCTTGCTGTTTCCGACATTGGTGTTGGTTTCATTGTTCAACCATTTTACACGTCATTCCTTGTCAAGTGGTTACAACTGAACGATCCAAAATGCAGCACATACAAGGCCTTCCTGGTAATTAGTCTCACATTTTCTCAAGCTTCGTTCCTGAGTGTTGTCGCTGTGAGTGTAGACAGGTTCTTAGCTGTTCATCTGCATCTCAGATACCAGGAACTTGTAACTCACAAGCGTGTTGTTACTGTGGTGATCTCAATTTGGGTATTAAATGCATTCGTTTCCTTGATGGCATTGTGGGCCTCTTTCGATACTATTTGGTTTATTGTTGCAGTTACTGGAGCTTTTGGTTTCATTGTCACTATTGTGCTGTATATCAGGATTTATTTCATTGCACGGCGGCACAAGAATCAGATTCAGTCCTTACAAATACGACAAGTAGAACAAACTTCTGAAATGGCTCGTTTTACAAAACTAGTTCATTCAGCTGTCAGTGTCTTTTACGTGTACATCTTGTTACTAGCTTGTTATTCGCCCTTTATAATCTGCATAGGGATTGAAAATTCAAGTGTCGTCACAAAGAGATTTTGGGTAGTATCGTTGACGTTATTGTTTCTCAACTCGTCCCTGAACCCTATAATTTACTGCTGGAGGATGAGAAACATGAGACACTCAATCATAAACGTACTGCGGAACATGTCTCGGAACCGAAATCGCATTTCACATTCATAATTAGTGTTGCTTTGTCAAGAATCCTTACATCCCATGTCATCGATGTTAATGATCGTTAACTTTTATCCCTCAAGTAAAAGAAAAAACCAACGAGTTACCATGAGTTGACGGTACTAAGACACTCCTTACTTAGAAGATGACTTTGTACGCCATAGTGACAAAGGCTCATAAATAGTCTACATCTATGTCGCTCTTTGGTCAAACTGTGATTCCCCCAAATGAGAGGTAAGGCGGTCACACAGTCAGATGCGAACAACGTTTTCAGACATCGAAGACAAATAAAAATAAAGTTCAACGCATATGTTTGAGTCAGACAATGAAAGACGAGACTGAG